TAATACTGAGTTTTGAACTCTAACTGTAGAATTATTAGTATTTATAGCAAAAGATTTTATTACAGGTACTATAGGGTTTTCATTGGTGGAAAAAAATATGTGCATACGTAAACTTTTAACATGATAAAGTAACAAAATGTTTGCCAATTTTTTTTTCTTTCTTTTCATTGTAGTCGATTTCTTTTTATTTATAAAATAAGAAAAGATAAGAAGTCCAAATAATTGAAAGATGATAATAAATTAACATCATAATGTTTCTACCAGGAACAAAATAGATCCCATGCCTATGCCGAGCACATCTCCTGTGTGATGACTTCAAACTTGTTCTATATAGCTTTGCATGCATATTGAGATATTAATCCATTCTGTGCATCTAAATTCATTTTGCATTCATGTAGAACGACATTTATTTTTATCTCTATGCATATATTACTTGATTATAAATTCATAGTGGAGTAAAACATCTTTTTTTTTTCTTTACCTTTCAAACAGGATAATTCAACAGTTAGGTGCGTTTTTTGGGACTTCAATAGAAATGGTAAGTGCTTGATATATCACCCAAAATATAATCCTTTCTTAGCTATAATCAATTGTTTTAGAAAAAAAACAAATGCTGTCATCAATAACAAAACTGTTTTCTGTAACAGGTGGACATGGAGGCTGGTCATATGAGGGCTGCATAGTAAAAGAAAGCAGAGCAAATGAAACAGTCTGTTCATGCAACCACCTCACAAGCTTTGCTGTTTTGATGGTAATTATTTTTAAAAAATATGCAAGGTTACCCTGATTAAAGAAAACATTTAAGCATGTGTTAATTTAAACAGATGAGAATTCAAAATAGTCGACCTGCTCCGTTCACTTCAGTGTTAGTATGTGCATGCATAAAAATCAGTCATTTGCTTAACCTGCTGGTTGAGGTGGGGCCATGAGTTCCATTAAAGTTGTGAGTGCCTTTTAAAGCACATAAAGGTGAGTGAGTGTTTTACTAAACTACAGCTTTTTATTTAGGTGGCCTTTATTCTATTGGAAGAAAAAATGGGAAAAATCAAATTTAAAACAATATTTTAATCAAATATCACTTCATAGATTTTTTTTCTGACTTTTTAAATTCACCTTTTACATCACAGATCATCAAGAGCAGTAATTGAGAGAATCTTTTATTGCAGAGGGAAGGGTGCATTTTGGTGGGGATTTTTTTCCCTTTAACAAGCATTCTCTCTGAAATTAACTTCTGTTTCTTTTTTAGAACTTGTATGGAAATACTCCTTTAAATCCCACACAGGAATTGGTACTGACTTTTATATCCTATATAGGCTGTGGGCTCTCAGCAATTTTTCTTTCCATTACTCTTGTGACCTACATAGCCTTCGAGTAAGTACTTTTTGAACTAAGCTCCCATTATTCAGTGCTTGTGATTGCTGGTAGTGTTCACTGTAATGTTGTTTCCAGTAATTACTGATTGTGGCTCAATTAAGAATGCACAAATTTGTTCATTTTACTAGGAAGGTGTTAATTCCATCCTGCAGGACTATTTCAGTGAATGAATAATGTGGTTCTATCCAAGGGAATAAATGGTACTTCTAAGTGATTTACAACATACTATGCCAGAAAAAGTGTGGAAGGATGGGCTTCCGCAGCCAACACAGTGCAGTTTATAATGGTAGCATATTTACATGTCATTGTGAAATGACATTTAATTATGGCCTACTAACTCTCTTGATTGTCAGAACATTTTCTTAACTTGATCGAGCCTTAGCTTTGACCGTTTGTAGTATGTTTGTAAATCCTCCTAGAAGTTGCTTTTGGCACCTGTTTACTCTCTCATTATCCTGTCATCAAAGAATTTCTTATTGCTGTCAAGGCTGTTGGCTGCCCAGTAGAATGCCTAATCTAGTTTAGCATTAAAGAACATTCATATTTTGGGGTTTTTTGGCAGTACTTCAACAGAAAGAAGTCTTAACATAGCTGGAAAAAAAAAGTGAATTAAAATGTACTATGCTGTTTGTATTTATGGAAATACCACATATCACAAACTTGTCATACAGACCTTTAATTTGTCTTATATAATTCACCTTCTCTCTATAAATGCAATATATGAAGAATTCTATATGAATGAATAAATGTATAAATAAGTATTTTATTTTCGTTTGTGCAATAAGAACTACGAGAGAGAATATCAATCTGCAACCCAAAGTAACAACAGTTGATGTGATCTCACTACTTTTTCGTTTTAGGAAAATCCGAAGAGACTACCCCTCCAAAATCCTTATTCAGCTGTGTGCTGCTTTGCTTCTGCTCAACCTAGTTTTCCTCCTCGATTCATGGATTGCTTTGTATGATACACGAGGCTTGTGCATCGCAGTTGCTGTATTTCTTCACTATTTTCTCTTGGTTTCCTTCACTTGGATGGGCCTAGAAGCTTTCCATATGTATCTTGCCCTCGTGAAGGTCTTTAATACCTATGTACGGAAATACATCCTTAAATTTTGCATTGTTGGTTGGGGTATGTATGTTGTTATCTTTATTTTTTACTTTGGGAAGCTAAATATTTTGGGGAATGTGATACTTACTAAAAGTGAAAATGAAACAGTCATTAAGTACCAATGACCTGTCAGGGACCACATATTCATTACCAGTAAGTCTGGTCCCGTGTATTCCACCTTCTGAGATATGGAACTTCTCCCTAGCTGTGGATTTCTCCAGATTGCAAGCTGAAAAATGGAGGCTGCTGCAGTGCAAATATAATAGACCCATTTCTGAATGTGTGCACTTTCATTGCCATCTTCCAGACAGATGTTTCTGTTTGGAAAATAATGTTATCATGTTTATATGTGTTCTGTTTCTGACATAGCAACAAATCCTACCCAATTGTTGAAGAGATTCTGGATCTGATTCTTTTCTGTGGCCCATTTAAATAGACATGAGTGAAGCCACTAAAATCAGTAGAATTATGTTTCTTTAAACAGATTTCAGTGGGAAGAAATCAAAGTAATGTATTTGGTGTTTTAAAATCTTTGTTACCATATACTTATCTGGGTAGACTAGCTTAGCTTTTAAGTAAAAGAACTGGATTACATCATCATACGGTATTTGTTGCCTTCTTCAGAAAGGTTTAAAGCTAGCTGTGGAGAAAATCATTTGTTTTTGTGAGTTATTCTCCTTAAGGACAGCTTGAATGTCCCAATTTTTAGATCTATTTGGACAGCCAATAATCAAAAGAATTCAAACAAACAGAAAAATACAGTAGTTTCAAGTCATCTCAACACTCTGTGTCTTGATTTTCACTTACATGTTTGCCCACAATCTTTTAGGGGTACCAGCAGTAGTTGTGGCCATTGTGTTGGCAGTGTCACCAGATAATTATGGACTTATATCAACTGGAGCACTTTCAAACAACAGACCAGACGAATTGTAAGTAAAAGGATAGTTCGTCTGTCTGTCTGTCTGTCTTTTTCCTTTTTTTTTTTCTTTTTGCTACCAAATTGCTTTTCTTTGAAATAAAAGTGGCGGAGAGAAGAAAGCAGTGAGAGCGCTTTGAAATGGTGTGGCTGTGCAATATGCCATATGCTTATTGATAACTCTTGATGGGAATATTCCTACTCTTTGGCCAAAAAAAAAATCAATCCCTTTACCAAAGAGGTAAAAATCAATTGCATTTATAACAAAATACAGCTTTATTTCATATTCACTATACCTAATTTCTGTGACAAAAGCTGACAGATTTTGTTCTTGTGTTCTAGCTGCTGGATTAAAAGTAGAATAGCCTTCTATATTACTGCTGTGGGATACTTCTGTGTGATATTCCTGATCAATATCAGCATGTTCATCGTTGTGCTGATCCAGCTCTGTCGCATCAAAAAGAAAAAACACCTTGGTACTCAGAGAAAAACGAGTATTCAGGACCTTAGAAGTGTTGCTGGTCTCACATTTTTGTTGGGAATTACTTGGGGATTTGCCTTCTTTACAGTGAATGAGGTATTTACGTACCTCTTTACCATTTTCAACACTCTGCAAGGTAAGTTTATGCTCCATGTCTTAGCCTGTTGTGTACAATATAACGAATAAAGAGTTTTAAAAAGGAAGTTTATTCAACAACAAGTATGTAATTTTGGTGCATTCTTTATTGTTAATTAAATTAGAAATGATACTGCTTTTCTTTAATCATATATAATAATACAAAATTGATATATGCTACATATATACTATGTATAATATAACAATATTGTAATGGTATATATGACAGGAGTGTACTTTTTATAATATATTTATATTTCTATTATAATTTTATAAATGTATGCATACCAGACACCACTGGAAGTGAGCCTTTCTCTAGTCAATGGATGAATTATAAATCCTCAGTTGCTGTAAGTGTTCACATTAATGTAGTGAAAACCATGTTATTTCTCAGCTTCCCGCTCCCAGGCATGAGGTCAGGCATTCAGCAACGGGCTGTTGCAAAAGGCAAAGCTGCAGCACTTCCAAGTGAGCTGAGAATGATATTTAGTACTGAAGTAACCAAGTAGTACCAAGCTTGGGCTTCACAGTTGCACATGTGCAGTGCACCAGATTGCCAAAGGCAGCTAAATGAGAGCAGTGTACCACATGCATAGACCTTGTCACCTGCAGATACTGACTTTCAGTGCCCTAAACTCACACACTAGCTGTTTATCCAAACACTTGTGCTCTGGGGTCTCTTCTGCACCTCACATGTTCTTGAATAGGAAAAGCCTGTAGGTACATAGCTTGGCAAAGGCAGGGATGCTGCTGCACATACCCAAAAGCAGAGTTTTGTGTGCTGTAAAAAGCTTTCCCATAGAACTGCAGGCACCTATGGTGACCATGGTATCTCCATGTTCCTGATTTGTCATACTCTGCTTAGGATCCGTACTGCTTAAATGGCACTTAAGTTGCTTGCATGGCTGGCTGGCTGGTTTGCCAGAGAGCAGAGCAATTAAATGGCAACTCAGTGCACGTCTCTTATTTGATACACTGATTTCTATGGATCTTACTGCTTGACTACTTGAAGGGTTGAATCCATATCTCCCCAGGCCTTCTAAAGGATGGTGTGGACCTAACACAACCCTGTGCATTCCTTGTGGCTGCAGGGTAGTGTTATGTGACCCTTAAGTTCTACCCTTACTCAAGTTTAATACTGGGTAAATGCTGATACTAAAAGCAATAAAGGCAAGTAGATAGTATCGACCCAATTAACCTTATGCCAATGTTCCAAAATAATATTTGAAAATGGAATAAAAGCATTTGAATAGAGGAACACTTAATTACCCTTAAACATTTTTCAGAAAGCCAAAGTTAAGAAACGTATTAAGTAACATAAATATGTAAATTATCTCTTACAGTGGGATTTTCAAAAGCACATATATCCTGAAATGGTTTTAAAAGCAGTGCAAACCTAACATGCATGTGAATCTGCCTTTGCTAACCTGAACATTTAAAATGTAACATGGTTACATTTATTTTTCTTTTATTTCTACGTATGATATCTGTCATCTAAGCACAAGGGGAAAATGTTCAGAGCTCTTAATGCTCTTAAATGTTCAGAGTTGTGAACTTTTTCACCGAAAAAAAGGTGTCATTACTTTTGATTACAACCTAAAAACAACAAACAAAACAAAATTGTTTGCATATGATATACATTGAGATATTACTTATTAAGATGAAGCAAAAATCTATTTTGGAACAGTGTCTTCTATTTAACACTTTGCAGGGTTCTTCATTTTCATCTTCTATTGCGTAACAAAGGAAAATGTTCGTAAACAGTGGAGAAGATACCTTTGTTGTGGGAAATTCAGACTAGCTGAAAACTCTGGTAATTATGAAAACTTTATTTATTACCTTTTTTTCTTTACTTCGGAATGTTTGAGCTCGGTGTTAAGTCTGTAGCATTTTATGTGCATATGTTTAATATCCAATAAAACATATTGCCGTAGTTCCAGGACTGATTTTTTACCTTAGATATGATAAACCTCTAAAACAATCCTCTTTAAGGGTTGCAGTTTATTAAGTTCTTACCTGCTGTTGCATTAAGCTGTTAAGTGTAGAGGACCTCTTCCTGGGTCTGTAGGTCTGTCTTTGCAGAAGACCACTGACTGTGATTAGGAACATTAGTAAGATATGTTAGATCTCCTGAGTCACGTGCAGTTTGGTCAGTGACTTCAACAAAAGCAAGATGAAGAGTAGTTTCAACAAAAACACCCTGTAAGCGGGTTTGTGCTATTGTTTTATTCAGTACTTATTATAAAGCAATGTACTTTTCATACCCTTGAGTTCAGAGAGTTGGCTGCACTTTAGCTACTGCCAATCTTTGGTGTGCAGTCATAAACCATGACTGCTTGCTTGATGAAGAAAATGACAAAGAGAAAAAGGAGCGTATGTACAAATAATTTTGGCTCTCAAGAATCATGAAACTCTTAATATTCAGTCAGAATAATATTCTCTTATTCTGTAGTCCTGTGGGGAGAATTGGGAAAACCTTGCTGTTATTTTATTTCATTTGTATTATTAGCTATATTTTTATATTTTGCTTTTATGGGTTGCACTACTTTCTGTAACATGTATCTACCGTAGACTGGAGTAGAACTGCTACTAATGGTTTAAAGAAGCAGACTGTAAATCAAGGAGTATCCAGTTCTTCCAATTCCTTACAATCAAACAGTAACTCCACTAATTCTACAACACTGCTAATGAACAATGATTATTCAGTGCATGCAAATGGCAATGGTATGTATAACACAAAATAGTATTTCTCAAACTATTTTCCTTCTCTCTTAAAACAACGGCTTTATGCTTTGTTATGCTAATGTAAAGTGAATTACTGACCAAATATTATTCATAATAGGGGATCAAAATATTCAGGATATCATCACAAATAATACTACACATGCATTTTAGTGCTACGCAAAAGTTTTGAAATAACCATTTCTTCTACTCAGTATGAACTGCTGATTTATACATTGAATCATAGGTAGCATTCATGATTAGAGCAATTACTGATCAAAAGCTGCTGTTAACATCTTTCTTGTCACCTAAAAATATTACTATAAACTTTAAGCATGTTTTAAAATAGTTGATGTTTTAAACCTTATTAAAATAAACATTGGAGAAGAAAGAAAGGTAAGACTATCAGTGGAAATAGTTTAGAATTATGAAAGAAAATATGTAGAAGGTAATGTGAGGAAGAAATTCTGCTAACGTGGAAACACATGATGGGAAAACACAGATGGAAGCTTCTTAATGAGGAGAAAATGAAGACTGTAAGTGAAGAGACCACTGCTGAGAGGGCTGCCTCGCTGCTGGCCGCAAAGTAAGCATTAAAGCTAAACTGCTCTATATCTCTTTATTTCTCTTGAGTAGCTTTATGAGTACTTTTTCCTAACAGAGATATATCTTTCTGTTGCAGGAAACAACTTTTGAAAAGTAGAAGGGGAAAGAGGGAGAGTTTTAACGATGTATTCTCCTCTGAACTGTCACCCTCTGCGTGGTTCCTGAGAACTGGAAAGGCGAGTGCATGTAGCACTCCGATCCCTGACCCATCTCTACTGAGAAAATTAGATAGGAATCTTCACTGAATATACTCACTAAAAAGTGCAATTTTTGCAGCAGACGTAATCTAAAGCAAAGCCTGATTACTGCTGCTCGTTTGAGCTCTCAGGAGGGACACTCACTTTTCCAAAGAGAAAAGTAATTGTGATGTAGAAAAGTCTTAAGTTGAGCAGGACATTAGCCCACTGTGCCTTGTTTATTTCTCCCAGTTGATCAAGAATTGAGGCTAAGATGTCAAGCTACCAGCCACCTTGTTTAGTATAAAGTTGTAGAACAAGAACAAGGATGTGTTGTCCTCATTTCCTGGCACATTCTGTTAGAAGAAACAGATAGTCAACTGGAAAACACAATAACCACTGAGATATACCAAGTAAAAAGTATGGAATTCCTATGTGCTGCCTCTTTATGTCCTGTTCTCCAGTTGGATGTGTCAGATGCATATTGTGGAGAATTCTCATGGCTTCAAGAAACGTTCCTTTAATGGCATTTGGACATACCCTGAATAGCTTTATAAATTAATTGAGCTTGTAAAATTAGTTCCTTTTTCTGTCATGCCCTTATAAAACCTCCTCTGTTTGCATACCACATGTGTACAATGGAATCATCATACTTTGTATCTAACAGATGATTTACAGAGAAAAAACAAAGCAATAATTCTTACTGTTACAAATCAAGGCAATATTTATAGAGAAAATTAATACCTTTTGAAAAGATACATTTTCAGGAACAAAAGCCTGCATATCTACTTCAGAGAATGAATTACTCTAATACTTATTGTTATATAGTTACAGCTATTAATTATTCAGAATAATGATAAAGAATTAATTATTCTAATAAAAGATATCTCTTCTCCCTCCATTTGCCATGCTTATACCGTTGTACCATCTTAGCTACAGAAGCATTTAGACTACTTTGATTAACAGAAAGAAAAGCTGCACAGATTTTTAACTGACTTTGTGTTTTGCACCAATTGAGTGGATGGTCCCATCGTGTCTTTCCAGACAAGCTGCTGATTTTGGTAGTACTTTGGAACGGGATGCAAAACTGATTATTTAAATAGTTGGCCAGTCCTAATGTTGCCAAGTGCTCCTGTTCTAATACCAGGCTATAAAAATTCATTGTTTTTCCAAGTTATGAAGTCATTCCAGTGTGAGGGTCTGTGTGTGTGTTGAACCAACATCTTCCCAGACACGTGCATCTGACAGAACTTGCAGTGCTGCAATATACACCAAGGTCTTCATGATAACCCACCTCTTCTCCATTTATATTTTATTGCATAAGTGAATGCTATGAACCCTGTACCACATCTTTCATTCATATCAAAAGGGCTGCATGATACAAACCAGTATAATTTGTTCGACCGAAAGCTTCTTCGTTTTTAATGAGCTTCCATATCTTTAGGACTTTGAGGAAGAAGTCTATGCAGATGCTTGAGTAGACTTTGTCCTCCTGAGAAAGCTCTTTAAGACAATTCCTTACGCTTAATCTCCTGAACTCCCAATCACTGTATCTGTGAAGAGCTGGACAAATACCCCCAAAAGTACCTGCCTGGTTAGATAGGTCAGGCTGCTGTTCAGCAAGAACATAGGACCTTCTAATTTATTGTGTCTGATCCCCTGCTCTCAAAGCTAGGAATCCACAATAACACTGCAATATTGTAATTTAAAAAGTGTGCTGCCCAAAGAAAGTATCCTTGTAAAGGAGACCTATGTCATTAAATGTATGCAGCTGTAAACACTTAGGGCTTTGGCCTCACTGCTTCTACGGAAATGCCGTTCCAGACAGAATTGAATGACTTGCCATGGTAAGTTTGGGACAGCCTGTGGCTTTGCTTACCTAATGATTGTGTAACTTGATCCTTTCATAACATATTAATGCTCCTTGTTTTCTGTTCTTTGACAGGTTTTCATGTTTGGGAAGCTCCCATTAGGTATCACGTGGCTGAGCCTCCAGATTCCAGTCTTGAGGAACAGAACTAACCTTTCTCAATTTGCTCACAAAATAGCTGTACCTCTCCTCAGATCCTGCCCTATAAGGAACACGGCTTAACTATTTTGAACATCTCTTCTAAAATCAATCAAATGCAATCAGGCAGGGGCTGAAGCCCTTACAAATGTATAATTACAGTGTCAGCAAGGACATGATTTGAATTAACAAAGCCCTTCTGCTTATCTTACCCTGTTTGTATTTGTACATGTTTTATTGCTTGATGGCCTTTTACCTTTAACTTTGTATTTAAAAGGTTTTGCATACTCTTGAGGGGTTGCTTACTTTTTTCAAGTCCAGTGGCAGTTCAATAGTTTAGTCTGGGGTTGTAACTTTTTTTTTTCTTTGGCAGACATCTCTTCAAACCCACTCTTTTAGACTTCTATTCCAAGATACTCATGTTTAGTCATATGCATTGTACTTTCAAAATGACAGTAAATTTTGTCAGCTAGACACGCATTCACATTTCTTATTTAAAAAATGCTGGGTCTCACTCCAAAGTAAAGCTTGCAAATGAAGTTTTTATATAGCTCAGGCACTGTCATCTGCTTGAATCAGTAAGAAAATTGCAAAAAGGTGTCCAGTCTGCCTAAAGTGAGGTATTAATAACTAGAGGAACTGGCTGAGTGGACTGATCCCTAAACCTGTGTGCTTGAGGCTTCTGCCCCAAGCAAAAAGAGAGAAGTCTAGCTCGGTCTCTGCAGAAGCCTTTCTGTAGGAGGGGTGAAGTGAAGAGGAGGGAGGTCACCCAAGACTCTGCTTCTGATAACTGCAAAAGAAATAGTTAAAGATGATCCTATAATGGAGCTTTGCCCCTCTTGGAGGGGTTGTTCAGAAGGCTGAAGTCATGAGAGAGGGTAAAAGGGGAGGGCAGACCCATAGCAGGATTCTGCTCTAGGATACCCCGGATATTTAATGGACTGAATCACATCTACTGCAGGGAGGATCAGCTTTCTGTCCTTGTGAAGATATCTTCTTCCACTACATACAACTTTCTTACGAGTATCTTGGGTCTTCCTGGAAGCATAACCTGCAAGGAGTTTCTACCATCTGTCTCTTCAGCAATTTTAGCATTAGGCAACACTGACTATGTTTATGGGAATTTTTTAAAATGCTGTTTCTAGTATAAACGACAGGCCTGTATCTGTGTCTGTGAACTCATTTCTCAGTAGTGTTTAACAAAATGAATCCCTTTCCCTCTCTACAATAATCTTAGTTCTGGTTGTTGTTTTGTTATCATGATGCTCCTTGCAAGTTACCGCCACTCAGTCCTAGATGGCAGGAATGTTAACATAGCTCTTGTGGTTTCCTAATGCACAGATAAAAGTTTAATTATATATATATATTCTCTTATCTTTTGTTTTAAAATATGATAGTTTTAAAGTATTAACTCTGAAAATTAGTTGTGAATGCAGTATGTAACAGAACTGTTAAAAGACATGGGTATTAGATATTTATATTTGATATCAGTATCCTCGCAGATCTTTTAAAATGACCTACTTACAAAAGAAAAAAAAAAATACTTAGAAGCATTTGCACAATAACAAAGTGTTAACTTTCAAGAATGATAACTAGAATGTGATGCATGGAGATAATGAGATTCCAGGGAGTAATTTAAATATTTTGGGAGCTGGTGTTCCATTTCTTTAGCAGCCTGTGGTCAGCACAGGTATTACCTGTGTTCACTGTAGGGAAGATGCCCAGTCTGACAAGCACTAGATTTAGGGCATACTCTAATTATAATCAAGGAATAAATGCTGCAAGTTTAGTGCATTTCCAAGGAAGAAAACGTTCTCCAGCACATGTTCCAGATGCAAGACAAAACTGAAAACGTTTTTAACTTAACTTTCATGCAAAACTAGAAAGTAGTAGTATTTGGCAGCTTAAATAATAAGATTTATTCCAAGTCAGAGTCTCTCGAATTCAGCGAAATGTGGGCTTCACTGTTGAAAATAAAAGATGCAGTCTTACCATGTGTACAGTGTGCTGTTATCTCCCAAATCTCTTACTGCTTTCCTACAGAAAATCATGTACAGAGAAATCCCTTCTGAAATTGTTACTGGAATAAAAGTAGGGTGTGTGTACTGTATATAGACTGCAAAGGCGTGTAGGATATGGTTCTGAACTTTGACAGGGGATGTATTTTTGTTTCTGCAGGCCATCTTTCCAGTGAGAAGAACGGTGTTTCTTTCATTGTACAGAATGGTGACGTGTGTCTCCATGACTTCTCAGGCAAACAAGTTGCACTTCAAGAAAAGGATGATACAGGCAGTCAAAAAAGCCGAATCTCACTTAGAAGGACTTCAAAGAGGGGAAGCCTAACTTTCATTGAGAAAATGTGATTTCCTTTTAAGCAGTACATTGTTCTACAATATGTTGTTCTACAGTGAAGTACAGATTTTACTTTTAACAGTTCTACATAATGTGAGAAAAACAGAAATTGATTTTATTTAATAGACGGTACTGGAACTTCAAGGCAGCCATGTAATGGATTGACAAGGACAATAGCAAAGAAAAAGAGAAGAAAAGGAAAGAAAAAAGAAAAAAAAAGTAAAGGAAGCTACTATTCAACAAGGTACTTCAGATCTTGAATTACAGCTGGCGCATTTCTATTCTGATTTGTCATTGAAGGGTTTTGGGGGTAGGTTTTTTTACACTTAAAGGAAAGTTTTGTTTAGACTTTTTTCAGTACAACTGAGTTATTTTATCTGGATATAGTACATTGTAGTATTGTATAAATATAGGAAATTACAGCCTATGCATACAATCTTTAAAAGTGTTAGCTATACTGTCTCCTTCAACGTTTTGTAGGTTATAGTTACAGACTCTATAGTGCTGTAGATAAGCAAAAAGATACCTACCTTTAAACATCTTAATGGTACTTTTATATTTATTTCTTGTAATATAAATTTAAATATTCCTTTGTATAGAAAAGTAACTGGTATTTTGTTTTAACTTTTATTGTAGTTTGCAGGTGCCTTTAATTGAAATAATTAACATTGATACAGAAGCTAATTTGTTCAGTAAGTGAAATCACTGACAGTGGTTTAAATATGTTTGCTAGATACAGAACCGTAAGTATGAACATGATCAGTCTTGAACTTGAGTCGCCTCTTACTGAAATATGGAGGGATGGAAGCTGGGTATCATCAAAGCAGAGTTCCAGGAGTGAGGGAGGGAGACATAAGGTTATAAGATACACCTAAGTTATGACAGTACCTTGACTAAGTCGGTGGAAATTTTTGCCATTGATTTCAGCAAGGTCAGTATTTTATCTTGAGTTGTTGTTACACAGATTAAACGCACTGCTGTTTCTCGTCTGTAGAGATTAGCTAGAGTAGTGTCATTTTTTAAAGAGAATAAATTACAGGAAATAAAGGCTAGCTGCTATATCTAGTAGCCAAGCAAATTTTTGGTTTTGTTGTATGGTTGCTTTTTTTTAAGGGGCAGCTCATGAGCATTAATGAATACTTTTGCTTGTACTTTGGCCAACCAAATTCTGAGGCCCTAGCTCAGTAAAAGCAAAATTTCCTTCTCTTTGTGGAATTTGCCTTTTAATTTGCCTTAAAAAGGAGAGCTGGATTTTGGCTCTTCATGCATAACAGCTTAAAGCAGGTAGAGCCCATAGGACATTGTGAAGATTCTTCCTGAACAGAAACGAGCTTTGGGACCTGGGGAGCACTGGTCACGCATGGCCTGGACACACTTGGGCAGCTCTCGACACGGCTTTTCTCCCTGTGTTCTTGGGCTAAGACTGAACACTCCCGGGGCTCATATGAATGGGAGCAAGAGCTAGAACAAGCCAGTGTCACGCTGCAGCGTGCCAAACCCTGCAGAGGGGTTCAAGTCTGAAGGATTACTTGAGGCAGACACATGCTGGATGGTAGCAAGTGCTTGACTTTCCCAAAGGACTCAGCACTGGAAACCCTCTGCTCACCAGAAAGCATCAGTTAAAGGGCCTGCAAGCTGGGGCTCTCTTGTAGTTCAGCAACTGAACCTCAGAAGCACTCAAAGCCCCTTGTGGTTTTGTGTGTAACGTGTGGTTCCTTTGGTCACCTACGTCTGAGACTCCTCTGAGAATGCTTTTAAAGTGAGAATTTCAAGTATTTGTTGTGTTTATCCACAAGGTTTTAGCTATGCGTTAAAAACGATGGTACTGGAATGGAAATAGTTGGAGTGCCTTTCTGTGAATGCTTTAACTTTTTGGCTAAATTGCCTTTGCACTGTTTCTTGTAAATTTATTTAATGTTCTTGTATTTATATTTTCAGTTGTAAAAATAAATTTATAGCAAGAATAACACGAGATATATAATGTTCTCATTTCAGTATATGTAGCATTACAGTGGGCTGTTTTGCAGTCAATCCTTCAAATGGTAAGAACCAGAGAATGTCATCTCTTGGAGATGACGTGGACCTGGCCCTTGCATTTATTTTTTTCCACATCATACTGCATCTTTCATGGTTCTAGCAGCAGTGTTGAGAGCAGAAAGAAGTTTGACATAATTGTGTCCAGCCAGGGCTTGCTCTGAGGCCTGTGGAGGGTTTTCCACAAGACTGCCAGGAGCAAAAGCACATAGCCGAGTTTGGCTCCAGTATATTCCATCCTGGCCAATCTGCTTGCAGTCTTCCTTTGTTTTTATTTTTGCACCCCATCACATGCTTTTTTAAAAAATATTTTTTATTCAATTTATCCCCAGGGGGAAGGAGCCTTTTCTTACTTTACTGCTCATCCCCTAAAGTAAAATTTGCCCCCCCCCCCCGAGGATATTATTTTAGCTGCCTGAATGGTTACCATCATAAACCATGGTTTTATACTAGATTTTCATCTGAATTATCTCAACCTCCTTCCTAGGGAATGTATTTTTAAAAGTGTATGATTAAACAAGTTGGCACGATGTGACTGACATGACTTTCCATCTGTTTTGCTTCCAGTCCCTGGTAGTTCATTTAAAGCCTAGCAAACCTAAGTTACATTATAGTCTGAAGAATATATATCCTCTGGGGGCTGCAAATTCTTGTGCAGCACCCTTAGCAGTTTCCCCTAGGCAGCCCTGAACTCAGTGAGGGCTGCAAGCCCTTGCCAGAAGAGCAAGCGCAGCCATCGGCCGGTGGTTGCAGCGGTACCTCGGGGATGTCTCTGCATCCCTGTAGACCAACAGCAGCCCGCCGGGTCCAGTGGCACCACCTTGCTCTGCAGATCTGCTCCCTGAGCCTGTGCACCCTTCTCCGTTGACCGACTTTTGGGTAAAATGTAGTGCCCCGAAGCAGTGAGCACTGTGAGAGGGAGCGGGCCCATGCTCTGGGGTTGCTCAGCTGGCGCGTTCAGGTTCATGGGGGTTAAGGAACTTCAAGCACTGCCCTCTGCCCCGTCCTGCCGCATGGGAACACTTTCCTGGAGCCACAACAGAAGGAAGAGGTCGCTCCTTAGGCCTGTTCTCTCTGCCCTGGCTGCCAGTTTCACAGTTAATGAGGTCATCATGCTAAACAAGCAAAAAACCCTTCCTTAATAATGTAATTTCACATCGGGAGAGAGAGAAAGAAGTGTTTCCGGAAGACCTTGTGACCTCCGAGCTCTTTTCCCTGTCACCAGGAGGATTGAAAGGATCCACTGAAGATTGAGCAGCTCGCGGTTGCGCGCACGCCTTGTGCTCTTTGAGTAAATCTTTGCCAGGTTTCCAAGCCCTGGTGCTCCCTGCCCGGCTGCCCCTGGTGCTCCCTGGCACAGGCACCTGCACACGCAGAGCTGCCTGCGGTCAGGAGGGGCCTTCCCGTCAGCCCCTACCCAGGGCCGGGAGCAGGGCTGCTTCTCGGCATCGCGGAAATCCTGTTTCTTTATCAAGCTAAGAGCTGAAAGCTGATAGGTGAAGGCACCTAATAAAACCTGGCATTTTTTTCAGACTTCCAACATCCCCAATTGTCTTTTTTTTTTCCCCAGCCTAAAAATACGTCTTTCAGTAGATGCCGCAGCCTCGCGTTTCATCTTTCCCCAGTTTCCAGAGGATTTACAAAACCGCCCGCACTTCATCACCCCCCGCCGCGGCGCTCCCCGCCCCGGG